GAAAATGGGTAGCACTTTGAACAAATATTATTTGAACATTTCTGCAGTTAAGGCTGCACAACTGAAACCATCAACAGGAAAATTTTGTTACCTTGCATTTCCTCTGGTAGATATTATAAGGCTATATTATGATTTCAAATTCAGGGAGATATGGGGCTTCAGCCTGCCAGATAGATACTATAGGCACTGAATTATGTTTAGAGGAGAGATGACAGTTGAACTGCATTAATTCAAGTTGCAATTCTTCACAAAAGTTGTTTGAATTGGTCTGTTCAGTTAATTTCACATAGATTTGCAATGATATAGTTACCTATGCTTCATTTAACATATCAGCCTAAAATAGGGTTGGCTAGTTTGCATTTCAGTGTAATATGCAAACACAGCCATAGGATAACTGGACTGTTTGATTTTTAACAGTTATGTAGAAGAGAAAAGTTAAGTAATTGTAATTCTGCCATGTCTTGTACATAACATGAGAAGCCTCATTTGTTGTAATTTTGTCCTCAAAAGAGGACCCCTCTGCTTTCTATCCATTATTATCTATCTTAGAGGTCATATCTGCACTTATCACTTAAACTGCTTCTATCCTGTACTCATGCTGACTTAACTCTAAATCGACATTAAAAAGTCCTGTCCAGACTGAGACACTTTGGCAACTGCTTGCAAGGTATTCAGTCTGGACTATAGACTCTTGCGCCCACTCACTGGACAATTCCGAAGCAGCTGTGCTCTCCTACTTTTCTCTTCCGGGAATTGCTTTCCTTCTTGTGGTTGGGTCTTCCTGGATATATATATACTTCTCCTTTTCTCTCTCTCTCCCCCTTCACACACACACACACACACTTGAATTATTGCATATTCAAACTTAAGCGATCAAAATGCACATCCATGCAAGTACAACTGAAAGTATTTTAAAAAAAAATCCTTATTACTAAGGGCTTCTTGACCCATTTTTAACATGACTTGCTGTAATAGCATAGTCATTATAAAACTTGCCTTGTAAGCCAAAGATTGACACCTAAACAAAACCATATTATTATTGCTGCTATTGTTGTTTCTTAGCTTCCTATTTCTCCCTGTGAATCCCTCCCCCCACCTCCCTGTGAATCCCTCCCCCCATAATTGCAGTTCCCTCGTTTCACAATTTTTCCAGTCACCTGAGATAGAAAGATTGGTAGGATAAAACCTTTTGTTTATTTTTATTTTGTTTTTTTAAAGAAAAA